CTTCACTGAGTTACGCAAGCCCCTTCGCCACGACAAGGCAGTGATCCATGAAGGGGCTACCTTGGGAAGATTGTAAAAGGGATAAAGAAATAGTTCCATAAACGCTTTGAAAAAAAATTATCAGAAGTCGGAATGGATTTGTCAAGAGCAAATCTTGCCAGACAACTTTTCCATATTTTTGAGTGGGTGCTAATTTAATAGATTAGGGGAATGCTAAGACATGATGTATCTTGACTTTAAAAAAGAATTTGACATAGCATCTTATGACATGCTGGTTGCATGATAATTAAATGGATACATAACTGGCTCAAAAATCAGAGTATTCATCAATAGTTCCTCATCAAACTGGAGAAAAGTATCGAGCAGAGTGCCACAGGAATCAATTCCATACTCTTCAATATTTCCATTAATGACTTTGGTAATTTAGCAAAATGGGCTAAAAGTCACAGAATTAATTTTAACCGAGACAAGGGCAACGTTCTTAGGAAAAAACATCAGATGCAAAGGTATAGGATGGAAACAGTACTTAGGAAAAAGATGTTGATTGCAAAATAAATATGAATCAGCAGAAGTGCTTGTCAAAAAGCAACTTAAAGTTTAAGTTGCATCAAGACAAATATAATTTCCAAATCATGGAAAGGAGTCATTCTGCCTTATTCCGGTTTGGTCAGGCCTCCACCTTGAATGCTGTTCTCTAGTTCGGGTCATCGCGTTTTAAGAAGGAATTAGACTTTAACGGGTTTGGAGGACGGCAGCGAGGGCAGCGGGGAAGTAAAGCTACCGTCTGCCGAGAGATGGGCGGATCTCAGCCGGTCTAGCCCTGGGAAGAGCCCGCTGAGGAGGACGGCGATCGCGCCCCTCCAGCGACGCGCAGAACAAGACTGATCCTCTCGTTTCCGGCGCGCAGGACGAGTTAGGAGAGGCTTAACTTGCAGGCGGGAGCCTGTTAGGGAGAACAGAGAGGCCGGCTGCTGAGCGGCGCCTCCCGGCTTCCTGGCTCCCTGAAGAAGGAGGGGCGCGTTGGGGGGGTTATTAAGCACCCTCGTCTGCGCTCGGCAGCACCCGGGGCATGAAGGGAAGAAGGCCCGGGACCAGCGAGGAGGAGAGCGCCCGGTTTAGGTCCTCTCCCCGGAGCGGGGG